GTTGAAAACCACCGGACCACCAAGAAGTCTTTTTTCACTATAGTTATACTAAATTTGTATTTAATTTTCAATTTGAGAAGAGTTTAATAGAGTATGTTTTCTATATTGTTATTATTATTATTATTATTATTATCGTTATTATTATAGGTTTGTGAAGCTAGAAAAAGAGACAGAGAGTTTACAACAGGACAACGTAAATTTAAAAGGAGAATTAGAAAAGTGGTGAGTTCAGTGTTTTCCGTCACTTTCATTCTCCTACATAGCAATCGTGCTACCCCTATTGAAGTCGTCCATATGTATATGGAGGTAATTTGTCTTCATGACGGTCACTAATAAGGGTGATTTTTGTGTTTATTATGAGTATCATTACTGGCCGTCACCTTTCGTCCCCTTATTATCGCTATCATGTCCTATTCAGATTCTGTTGTCATTGTTTGCGCCTTAACCAATCACTCAGACATCACCATAGTTTACCTTTGGACGTAACAGGAAAATCTGCGTCCACACCCGCATTCTGTATTATGAAATTTTGAAAAGTTTAAAGCTAAAAGAATAATGCCTAATGAGCTCCCAAAGGTCACAGAATAATTATGAGATATTGCGCTGCTGGGTATCATTGACGACATTAAAAATGGTGTAGAACATGAATTTTATTCGCTTTATTATTTTCAGTCTCGTCATCAATGTCCACTCCGTCAACATGATCAACATCGCGCTCCTGCCAGTCATGATAACTTCCATGACACAGTTATCATTGAAAAGGGTACTTTCGGAGGAGTAAACGAAAATTATGAAAACAAACATGCAGTACTTCAGTACCTTGACATTTTTTCCCTTTGTAGCAAAACAGAGACCAATGAAAAAGACGAGAAAATAATTACATTGACGAGCCAACTGAAAGAACTGCTGCAACGTGTCGCTATGGAGGAGAAACTCCGAAAGGACATGGAAGGGTTAGTTACCATTTTAATACATGTAAGTTTTAATATATGTAAAGGTTAGCCATTAAAAAAATCTCAGTCTATAGAGTAATCCATATTTGGAGTTAAAAAATATATAAATAAATAAGTTGAAATGGCATACATTTTGTCTAAACAGGACATTGAAGCACTATTTCTCACTAAAAATATTCCTTTTACGAATAAATCCTATACTTGGGTTGAGCAACCCTTATGACGTCTCGTGACGTCATAATTCCAGAGAATTTACAATTTTTTACACTGTTCAGACAGTATTCGCTGCTCAAAATTCTTATATTATTAGTAATTTAACAACGAGTGTTTTAGTTTTCCTTGCATTTTCTACTGAGTTCCCTCAATCCCATCTGTAACTGGCCGTTTTCACACTATCCATCTGAGACTGCCGGTAATCCATCTGCAAAATACGTCAAAATTGACGGATAAACAGATGGATTAATTTAGACGGATTTTTTCATCCAAAATTAAAACCCTTCAATTTTCAAATTAAGACGTATTATTTGTCTGACCCGAATTATCCAGCGGATAACCCGTCTCAGACGGATAATCCGTCCCTAGTTAAAGACGGCCTATGTGAAGTAAAACGTTTGATCGAAGCAGTGCTTCGTTTCGGCAAAGAATGTCTTGTTGTATGTCTTACCGGACCAGTTCCAAACGGTCGCCGCCGTTCTGCCTTCTTATTGGGCAGAAAAACCAAAACTTTTCTGGCACCAATCAGAAGTCAGAACGGCGGCGACCGTTTGGAACTGGTCTGGTAAGATTTTATCCCTAGGGGCTCTTCTCGCCGTTCTTTACAGGAACAATTTAACCGATTTCTATCATTTTAAGCTTTCATAATAAAGAATTGCCGAACTTTAAGAAAATGTTATTTGTTTTCTTGTAGGTACAAAGAGGTTTGAGATATCGGCATTATATTTAATTCCGCGTTATTACAAAAGTTGTAAATAACTTTGCAAATAAGCAAAAAGAGCTCTCCAGTTTTATTTGCCCTAGTTTGAAGTCAATATTGACCATAAATTTGCTGCACAACATACTGGTTAAATCAGCCGCAAAATGCTACGCAAACACATTTGTGAAAGTGCCGACGGAATATCTCCTATCTGCATGAAAGGGTATTCTTTACCCAAAACTTTCTTTCTAATTAACAAAACAGGGTGTATCCATAGCCAGGATCTCAACAAAGGGGTGTCCCTTTATAAGACAAAACTAACTAACAGAGGTAGTGTCCCCTCCATCGTAATTACCATTAGATGAAAAGACATTTTCAGCCCAAATGGAGGGTCAGGTGAACCTCAGCTAACATAAAGATTGTGCAAATAGGGGCATATGAAGATGCCATCCCTGTTCGATGGCATGACTAACATAAAGAAAACATGGCGCTGCTCGACTTCGGGGAGGGGTAGGTGCTCAATTACCTAGAAACCTGGTATTCGTGAGCGTATTCATTTTAAAATTTTACTAATGACTTTTAAATGTCTTAATCAACTAGCGCCATCCTATCTCAGTGACCTCTTAATTCATTATAGACCATCAAGGACATTACGCTCGTCTGATAAAGAACTACTGGTACAGTCCCGCTTCCATCTCTAAACATATGGCGAGCGAACTTTCTCGTTTATTGCCCCAAAAATGTGGAATACCCTCCCATTAAGAATATTAAACAAACGTTGCAAGTCATCAGAATATTTGAAATCCACTCTTAAGACGTACCTTTTTAGAAATTACTTTGAATTGTAAGAATCATTAAGTATTACGTTTTTCAGGCTTTTTTTTATGTTATTTAGTTTTCTTTATCATTCACTTTTGTAAAGCGCTGTTGGTTCTTCAGTAGAGAAACAGCGCTATACAAGATTATTATTATTATTATTATTATTATTATTATTATTAAACCTCAGTTGAGCCCATAACTCTAGAAAAATGGGGGGGGGGGGGGGGGGGTGTGTAGAGCTAACTTGCCTTTCACAGTTCGTCGCTTTAATGCAAAAATGCTTGCACAATTTGTAAAACCAGTGACTTTACTTTGCCGAAGCAAATTTCCCCCACACCAGCCAACATTATAACATTGTTCTTTAAAGAATGAATACGTCACTCTTTCATCTGAGTATACTGGGAACCTATAATCGCTAAGGCATTAAATTTTTCGAATCTAACAAGGCAAAGCCGTGATGGTAATACTCAAGAACTTCGGAAAACAAAGCAAGTCTTAGAAGATAAAGAAAAGGAACTTAAAAGACTCAAGGGAAGGTAGGAGTGTTCAATTTATCATTGCTCGTAACTATATATTTAGGTTTTATTTTTTCGTCTCTCTGGGAGGTTTTCTTCCTTTAATGGTTCCTGCAGCTGAACTTTCTCTTCAAACAGTGTCCTATTTCATAAATGGTTTTATCATTATTATTTTTAATATTGATGCTATTGTTGAGATTTAGACGTTGTATTTTGGTTTTTAACTTTTTTAAGAAGTGTCTTTTGTTTAATAACGATATACTTAATTATAACCGTCACGGTTTTTTTAATGTATAATTCATGTGTCATTTTGTTTGTATTGTCGAGCCTTTTTAACATGAGTCTCTAGCACGAAAAATTGAATAATCACTTCTAATTCCTATGTATTCGGCATTAAATAAATTACCCTTATCCTTGTCCTTAGTGAAATCCTTGTAATATTTTATAAGGATTGAGTTACCAGAAGTCTATTTTTTGCAAAGACTAACCCTCGGACGTACACGCAAATTCTTACCCTCACCCTGGTACAAGGGGGTTTTGATGCAACCCCTCCCCAGTGTTTTTGATATGTTGTAGTATTTCGAAACTATTTTGCCTTCATTGGAAAGCCTTTGATCTTCTCAACAAGATGAGGTGTATTTCAAGGGTGGTAGCGCTGCTAGAGGCCTGTGACGTAACCAACAATGGTCGTCATCTTGGATTTTACCAAGAATTAGAAATCAGGTTTAAACTGCAATAAATGGTAATTTTTTGTGCTTGACATGTATGTAACACATAAATAAGCACTTTGCATTATTTCATCCACGAAAGAAGTTGAAAGAAGTTGAAAAAACATGCATTTTCACACCTGCTACCTATGACGTCATATCTCGTAATCATAGAAACTGACCATCTATAATCGCGCGCGAGGGATAAACGAACAGCTATTAGAAGCGTCAGATGCTGATGTTTTTTCGTCCAGGTGAACACTCAAAAAATCCTCAGAGGGTAGGTGGCAACCACCCCCCACCCCTTTCCCCTTTGATGCATCCGTGGGTTAACTAAAAGTCTAAATATTTTATTTTTACAATGTAACTATAAAGTATAAATGGCACCGAGAGGCCTTATGGATGTTCCTAAAAACAATGAACAAGAAAGGCCTCTATGTGACGTAGGTCTAAAATATGTTGTAATTTTACACTTTGCTCCTTTTGGAACGGTTTGATATCCTAATTTTCAACAACCAAAGATTCAATTACAAGAGACTGTCACGAAAAGTTGCCAAAAATCAATATCCAAGTGTTGAACTACAATAAAATGACGAAATGTCATTATTATCACTGTTGTCATCATTATTATTATTATTATTATGTCGCAGTATGAAACTTTGGAATGCTGACCTCATTATGAGTAGTATAGGGCGCATAGCGTAACCTACACCACTTGAGAAGCTATACTTAGAAATAAAAAAAGGTCGATACGAAACCTAATACAATCCTAAAATACATAGTGATATGAATCTCTCTACTTAAAAAGCCAATTTGAGAATATTATTAAATTCTGATACTCTGTAAAACCTTCGCTATCTCTACTAAAAGCTTATACATAGTGATATAACTCTCTATACTTAAAAAGCCAATTTAGAATATTATTAAATTCTGATACTCTGTAAAACCTTGGCTATCTCTACTAAAAACTTATTTATAATAATATCAAACTCTAATGTTCTAAAAAATCTAAGTAAAAACGTCAGCAAGCTTGTGTTTCTAGATTTCTAGAGAAAAAACAAAAACCTAAAAACTGAAGTCCATAGCGCCCTAACTAAGTATTTATCTTAAATGTTCTGGCAATGTTTAAAGTGTTTGAGATGACCGACTTCTGCATCCGCTCAAGTACGCTCCGTGCTCTCGCTCCAAGTAGCTTCCTCACCGACTTCTCTAGGTGTTTAGAGTAACCCCCCAGTACGTCAATTATTACGTTGTACTGTTCAACCCTGTAACCATTGTATCTCTGCTTCAGCTCCCACATCATGGGCCCATACTTGAGTGTCTTTTCCTCATCTTTCTTAGCTCTACTCTCAATCCATGGGCAGCTCATTTCAATTGTGCAGACTTCTTTCCTCTCGTGGCTGACAAGTCGCGCGTCGATCCGATTTGCTCTAACTTCGTTGTGCTCTGCATAGATGGGAATATCCCAAAACGCCTCACTCGTGGTGTTCTGGTAGGCTGGTTTTGGCATCACCGGTGAGTACCATGGTGGAACCTCTTCCATTAACCCATGCTCTCGCAGGAGCTCAAAAAACAGAATCTTCAAAGCTGCATTATGCCTGTATAGGTACTTGGTTTGTGCCAGGGAGGAACATCCAGCCAGTACATGTGCAACGCTCTCAGCTACCTTCCCACATAACCTGCATAGAACTTCGCCGTCGGTGGAGGTTTGCGTCTTCTCCTTTGTGTAGAGCTTCGTAGGTAACAACTGCTCATACAATTCATATATGCCCGCGATGGTATATGTAGGGCATGTAGCCCAACCTTTTAACCATGCAAAGCAGCTGGTTATGCTTAGGCTCTCATCTTCCCATCTGATACGGAATAACTTTCCTTGCCACTTTTTGTCTTTAGCGATCTCCAAGAACTACTTCTCTTGAGATTGCTTCAACAGATTCCCAGCTCTTGCTGCAGTTACCACCTTTCCTTCTGTTGTAACACACACGGGATTTAGGGTATCAAGCTGAAGTGTGATGTTGAGTTCTTCAGAGTACTTAGCTGCTTCCTTTACGAGCGACTGGTGGCCTGATGCCATGGCGTGTTCTTCAAATTCTCTAACTGCTTCCACAGTCTGGTCCGGGTTCTGATACAATTTCAGTAGCGATTTGATTTTAGCGATCTTGTACTCGTGTTCGACTGACTTACTATTATGATTATGATTATGATTATGATGATGATGATGATGATGATGATGATTATGATGATGATGATGATGATGATTATTGTTATTATATTATTATTATTATTATTATTATTATAGGTTTGTGAAGCTAGAAAAAGAGACAGAGAGTTTACAACAGGACAACGTAAATATGAAAGGAGAATTAGAAAAGTGGTGAGTTCAGTGTTTTCTGTCACTTTCATTCTCCTACATAGCAATCGTGCTATTCCTATTAGAGTCGTCCATATATATATATGGAGGTAATCTGTCTTCATGACGGTCACTAATAAGGGTGATTTTTGTGTTTATTATGAGTATCATTATTGGCCGTCACCTTTCGTCCCCTTATTATCGCTATCATGTCCTATTCAGATTCTGTTGTCATTGTTTGCGCCTTAACCAATCACTCAGACATCACCTTAGTTTACCCTTGGACGTAACAGGAAAATCTGCGTCCACAGTACCCGCATTCTGTATTATGATATTTTGAAGAGTTTAAAGCTAAAAGAATAATGCCTAATGAGCTCCCAAAGGTCACAGAATAATTATGAGATATTGCACTGCTGGGTACCAGTGACGACATTGAAAATGGTGTAGAACATGAATTTTATTCGCTTTATTATTTTCAGTCTCGTCATCAATGTCCACTCTGTCAACACGATCAACATCGCGCGCCCGTCAGTCATGATAACTCTTATGACACAGTTATCATTCAAAAAGGTGCTTTCCGAGAAGTAAACGGAAATTATGAAAAAAACATGCAGTACTTCAGTACCTTGACATTTTTTTTCCCCATTTAGCAAAACAGAGACCAATGAAAAAGACGAGAGAATAATTACATTGACGAGCGAACTGAAAGAACTGCTGCAACGTGTCGCTATGGAGGAGAAACTCCGAAAGGACATGGAAAGGTTAGTTATACTTCAGAGTTAACCTACCATTTTAATACATGTAAGTTAGAAGGTTAGCGATTAAAAAAAAACTCAGTCTTTAGAATAATCCATATTTGGAGTAATAAAAAAACAAAACAAAAGAAAAATGAGTTGAAATGGCATTACATTTTGTCTAAACAGGACATTGAGGCACTATTTATCACTAAAAATATTCCTTTACGAAAAACTGCTGTACTTGGGCTGAGCAACCTTTATAACGTCTCGTGACGTCATAATTCCAGAGAATTTACAATTCTTTACAATGCTCAGACAGTATTGCTCGCTCAAAATTCTTAGTAATTTAAGTTTTTTTTAATAGTTTAAGTTTTCCTTGCATTTTCTACTGAGGTGCCTCAATCACATCTGTAACTGGCCGTTTTCACACTATCCGTCTGAGACTGCGGATAATTCATCTTCAAAATCCGTCAAATTGACAGATAAACAGATGGATTAATTTAGAGGGATTTTTTCATCCAAAATTAAAACCCGTCAATTTTCAAATTAAGACGTGTTATTTGTCTGACCCGAATTATCCAGCGGATAACCCGTCTCAGACGGATAATCAGTCTCTAGTTAAAAACGGCCTTTGTGAAGTAAAACGTTTGATCGAAGCAGTGCAACGTTTCGGCAAAGAATGCCTTGTTGTATTACTAAATCAAATCATAAGTATTGATGAAGTTTTGTTTTAGAAGCAACTAGTTCTGTTTCACAAATAAGGAATTGCAAATTTCTAAACTGGTGACGTCATAACGAATCAAATGGGTCACGAGGGACCTATTAACACCGTCAGTCTTTAGGCTAATTACGTACTACACCTTTTGCTATTCATAACCAGAAAATGTGCTAGTTTCAATATTTACGCAGTTATCAGTTTTAATACCCTGAAACTACATTCATTGCCATTTATTTTCGCGTTTACATATTCATTAAGACCATCCCAATAAAATGCATCGTTTCCCATCACCCAACCGACCCATTCACTAGTCAAAGAAGCAAGTACTTTAATTTACAAGCACACGATCTTGTTTTATTAACAACAATAGGTATGATGTGATGTCCTTGTCTTTAATTAACATGGATACTACGGTTTTAAAAGGCTGTTTAGATATTTGCTAGTCGAAAAGACTTTGTTACTTAGCAGCCCGGCCTTCTCTGGAACCCAGACCCCTTCAAGTGTTCAATCTTTTTTTTTTTTTTTGCCCGACCGACCCGACCGACCTACCATCACAAGAGACGGGGCGCTGGGAAACGAAACATTGTATTGGGATGGCCTAAACTTTTCGCATAAAAATAGATGACTAATAGCGCGTGTGGGCAGACAGTAGCTTGAAAGTGCACTCTGTTGCATCAAAATATACAAACAGACCTTTTTTAGGTCCGATAAGGACAATTAAACTGTCAATTGCGCAAAACTTTTAAAATGCATAGAAGCACAAAACCTTAAATTTCTTCAATGTTATTCAGAGAAAAAAAATGTTTCATAATCATTTTTCAGTTGATGTTTTCTGCGTAAAGTGAAATGTTTCGTGATTGTCCCTTAATTTCTTCCCCACGGCAAGCGCCAGGGCATGTGTGATGTAGGTGTATTTGGTCGATGAAATGATCAATCACGTGTAGTTGTGCGCGGTGGTGCAGAACTCTAACAGAAACAGAGGTAGTGTCCCCTCCATCGTAATTACCATTAGATGAAAAGACATTTTTAGCCCAAAGGGAGTGTCAGGTGAACCTCAGTTAACGTTAGGATTGTGAGAATAGGGGCCTATGAAGATGCCTCCCCTGTTCGATCGCATGACAAAGATAAAGAAAACATGACGCTGCTCGACCTCAGGGAGGGGTGTGCGGTCAATTACCCAGAAACGCTATTAAGCCCATAATTCCAGAAAAAATGGGGTGAAGGGGGGGGGGGGGG